AAGTGTCCGAGAGCGGTTAAAACTTTTCCAGATTTCTTTCTGAAATTGGAGAGGTTTCTATCCCAGATCTTGTGGGAGTGATGAGGCTTAAGATAAGGAATAAACCTGCTGAGATTGGAACAAAATGACCTTTTTTTAAATCAGAGTTGCAGAAATTGGCAGGAGGAAAGAGCCGAATGATTATTTTTTTTAAAATCCACAAACCAGACTGTCAATCAGGTCTCCCATCATCAGTTGGCAGTTAGAAGCCAAGAACATTGATCTTAATATTCTTGAATGCCATCGCTTTATTCCTTAACATCCAGACCCAAAATCCTGACCAAGACAGGTAAGACAACAGCCAAAAAGGCCAGCAAAGCCACATCATTATGCCTTCTGTCAAAACGGTGACAATGACACCTAAATTAATAACACAGCGAGGCTTGGCATCTGCCTTGTGGTTTGCAGGTTTATTTTGAGATCTTGTTGGCAAACTGAAGCCGGGCCCCCTTGAATCGCTTCTGCATTTTTGTCCTGCACCTGGCGTGTCACGCCGCCAATTCACGCCAATCGCGTGAGTTTCTAAAACGGCACAAGGGAACCAACCGCAACCGGCTTTCTTCTCAACTTGGCAAGAAATGAAATGGCTTTTGGTCCCAAGGTTGGATGTCGTCAGGAGTTTGTGAATCCCCTTCTGTCTTGGTTGGGAATTTTCTTCCCAGCCTTTTTATTTTTCCGGGAGAAAAATAATGAGAAATAACAAGATTTCTGTAAGCGAAACTGAACAGAACTCTTTTGTCCTTCCGCTTCTCGGCACTTGAGATGGTTAAGATTAATCTGGTTTGAAATCTGGGCAATGGAGGGGCGGGGGGAATCCCAGCCATTTCTGGGCTTTTCCTAAATAAAAACCTGCATTCCAAACGAGAGAAAGTTTTGGTGTTTATTTAGCACCCTGAAGAAGGCGATTGATTTGAGATTGGCGCATGGACTGGAAGGGGGAAGGGTGTTTTCCTGAAAAACTGGATCCTCCTGCAATAAGGAGGAAATTAAAGGAGGAAATTATTGAGATCAGATCCGGCCTTGAAGCATCTTCCAGAGCATGAGAATGGACGTTTCAAAAGCACAGCAAAGCTTTAGGAGGGAAATGAAAGTAAACTCCTTCCAATTTGGGTGAGAATTGGCTCGCTTTCTCCTTCCTTACTCCAGGCCAACTCAAAAATTGTTCCTAAAATCAGGATTTGTTCACTTTGGGTGGGCAGCTGAGCCACAAAAGCTGTGAGTGAGAGACCCGATTTCAAAAAATCCTGCCCCTTCGCCAGAAGGTCTTGCAAGCTTGGGAAAAAGGATTTTTTTTTTTAATGCCTTCATTCTTTTATTTGTTCGAATCTTCTTTCCATGTTTTTTATGTAACGGCCACGGGTTCCCACAACCTGTTTTGTAACGGGGAAGAAGCCTCCGGCCAACTCTCCCAAGGGGAAGGGAGGTTAGCTGGTTCCTCTCTGCACATCAAAATCCCCTGGTGTGATTTTTTAGCCAGGGGGATCATGTGAGGCAGCTGAGCCCTCCTCCCCCCCCCAAAAAAAACCCCCCCCCCCCCCCCCCCC